AACACACAAACTCCATTTTCCTGGAATAACTAGCTGAATTCCTGAACCACATATTTATACCACCTCTGAAGATTTCCAAGCAAATAAAGGAGGATGGTCAAGGAGCTAACTYGTACTGCTAAACTCAACAAATCCAAAACTTAGCATATTCATATTTCTTCTTTATTTACGATAGGTGACATTACTCCTAAGTACTGAAAATAAACAGCTCTACCTGGCCTCTATCTACAACACTCAGAATTGACATCCAGCCACTTCAAAGGCAGGATGATGTCTGTGATTCCAACATGCATGGATCAAAAATACTGAATACTGGAGTTCTGAAATCTGTTCAAAAGAGTAGCTCTTGGCCAATCAATCATCCATGAGCACAAAGATTTCTTTATCAGTGTGATGACACTATAGTGTCTGGAAACAACATATACTAAATGCAATATAAACCAGTAATTTAAAAAAATCATTACCTTGAACCAAAATTTGAATTATTGGAAGATGTACAGGCTACTTGGCTGAAAAGGTGAGTAGGATGACTACTAAATCTGTTTTAAGTTTTTCCTAATCACCTGGTAAAAATTACTTTGCTTCTCTTGCCTAATCTCCAAGTTCCTGACACATTCCTTCTGTGGTAGTCAACTTCATTTGTCTATTACTAATGTCCTAGATTACTAATGGAAGTAATATCCTACATGTTAATTTTTCTCCTCAGCAAAGATACAGGGAGTGTAGTGTTTACTGGCTAGCAAGCCTAAACTTAAGAATTTTATAAGAAAATAGTCTTTCCACTTTATTTATAGAATCCACAATATAAGTAATTTACCAGTCAAATGGGGATGATCACAATAAAGGCTGGAGAGAGAAACGTTAAGTGCAAGTGTCAGCGTGCATAAGATCACACTGCACTGCAGTGACGGTGCTGCAGCCCCAGGAACACAGCTAAGGATAAAACATGTTTTGGAGAAAACCAGAAAATGACAAAAAAACGGGGGGGGGGGGGGTTTAAAAAGCAACCCATGGCTTAACACTCTTTCCATCAGTTCTTAAAAATCACATTTGTTTTTGAAACTGAAATCAAGATTCCCTTGGCTGCATTTTAAGTTTTCTCTTGCTTTTATCACAGCTGTCTGCAAGAACAGAAAGGATGGTAAGAAAAGATGCTATCATGCAAGAAGCCAAAATAAATGAATTTTGTCACCTGCTACTTTCCTTTTAAAGTCACAAGAGTAGCAATAGATAACTTCAAACTGATGACAAGCACCTTTATAGAATTAACTGTATTACCCACTATAATCAGTTCTCTTGCAAAGTTAAATAAAATTAAAAATTACTGGGTAATTAAACTATGATTATGCCAATTTTGAACTTCTGAATGAACTAGCTGCACATTCACTTGGCAAAGAGAAAACAGGATGCTAACAGGCAATGTGTCAGATGGGCTTCCAGAAGTCAATTTTCTTTGGGGAGACAGGGAGGATTAAATTTACCATAAAGATGAACACTTTTTAAAATCAGGCTACGGTAAGTATAAATCTAAAATTTATACTACACATATGTATACCCATTGCACAGTACATGCCTGGAGCAAAGTGAACTGCAGGAAATTTCACAATCAACTCCCAGCTACTCACCATATTATATAGTAGGGGTAGGTGCTGAAACAAGTTTCAGGTGCCATACTAAGCCTTTTGCTTTTCAGTTGAAAAATTATGCTAACATGCCAACTTTCTCCTGTTATTATTAGTTTTTTTTTTTTTTTTGGTCATTTGAACTACGATTCTCTCAAAAATCAATGTAGGAAATGAGTGATTCAGAACTCGCCAATTGTGTTCTAACCCCAATGCCAGAGGGTTTAGCAGTTTGTAATAAAAACAATTCTAATCAAGATCAGGAAAGTCTTTAAACAAACAAACAACAACAAAAAAAACACCTTCAAGGTCATTTGAACCAACTCTTTTCACCAGTACTGTGTGTTATTGAGATTGAGCCCAGGGCCCACCTCTAAACTACATTGTCCCCCATTTTTATGTTTTATTTTGAGTCACTAAGTTGCCCAAGTTAGCCTCAAATTTACAATCCTCCTACCTCAGCTGAGATTTCAGGCCTGCACCATGGTACTTAGCTTATACCAGTACTTCTATATATATTATACTAGCCTGCTTCTAAAATGTCTCATGGAAGAAATGCTGAATTTTCTTGAGAAACTGTTGGTATTGAGCAAAATATCAGAACAGTTTTCCCATGCTGAGTATATTTTTGATCAAACTCTGAAAGGTCTTGCTAAGTTGATGAGGCTGGCCTCAAACTTGCAATCCTCGTGCCTCCCGAGTTGCTAGGATTACAGGTATAGCCACCATACCTGACCTGTGGTTTAACTCCTTTTGCTTATTAAATGCTTTGCAAGCAAATATAAGTATTTATCATTTTATAAATGTGATAAAGCCTTAGTCATGTTGGCTTCTGCTTTCAAATATGTTCTGACACTCACACAGCTGATAGAAATGTGAAGATGATACAGCAACTTTGGAAAACAGACTGTCATTTCCTTAAAATGGGAAAATACAGAGTTACCATATCATCTATCAAACTCACTCCTAGGTACATACCCAAAGAAATAAAAACCTATGTCCATGTTGAGATTTGTGCACAAATATTAACCAAGGGATTACTTATAATAGCCCAAAGTGGAAATAATCTAAATGCCCATCATCTGATAAGCACATAAACAAAATGTGGTAACAATAGAATATTATTCGGCCATAAAAAGGAAATTATGATACATGCTATGTCAGGGATGGGCCTTGAAAACATTATGCCAAATGAAAAGAATAAGTCACAAAAGAACACATATTATATAATTCCATTGATAAGTAATGTCCAGGACAGATAAATCTATAGAAATAAAAAGTAGATTAGTGGTTGCCTAGAGATGGGGGGGATGTTGGGGGTGGGAATAACGAAAGACATGACTTTCCCTCATTCCCTATGCAATACCAGGGGCACTTTATCACTGAGCTTCATCCTCAGCCCTTTTGATTTTGAGACAGTCTCACTAAATTGCCAAGGCTGGTCTCAAACATGTAATCTGCCTGCCTTAGTCTCCCAAGAACTGGGATTACAGGTGTGTGTCACCATTCCCCACGAGTTTCTTTTAAAGAAAATGTTCTGAATTGTCTGGTGATGGTTGTTCATAACTGAATATACAAACTATTGAATTACACATTTTCAGTGGACRAGTTGTGTTTGTTAATTACAATAAAACAGTTACTAAAAAAATTGTTCTGAGACATGAGGTGTTTGAGAATCAGCAAACCTCTTCTAGAAAAAAGGTTTTGATTAAACTAAAACCACTGTAATTGAAACCAGCTTGCAGTATCTTGATGTGTATACATTTCTAAAATGTGAATGTAGTTTGAGGAAAACTACATCATTACATCAGATATTCCAGGCAGCCTGCCATGAGACTTTTTTTTTTTTTAACAACCCCCCACAAAAAAGTCTTAAAAGGAATCCGTTTAATCAACTTCAGAGTATATGTTCTCTCTTGTTGCTTCATCTTCTTAAGCCATCATCTCCCTAAAACACGCATGTTAAAACAGTACTTGGGCATGGTTAATTCATTCATTTAACAAATAGTYGAACCTGTCCTGTACACCAGGCATGGTTTTAGGTATGTGAATGTGTGTGTGTAGACAAGCAGCAAGACAAAGTCCTTACTCTTGTGGAGTATTTAACTCAATAGGACAGGAGAAACAATAAATGAGTTTTAAAAACTTATCTAAAGCAAGGTACCATATCATGGAGTGGTTAGGAAAGGAGGCTTCTCTGAGGAAGTGATGCTTGAAGTGAGAAAAGAAGGTACAAACCACACAAAGATCAGGGAAGAGAACTGCAAATAGAGGAAATAATTCCTGAATAGAGAATGGGGGGAGGGGTGTTAACTGTGAGCTGGTGACCAACCCTCCTCTGTGATTCTCATTCACTAACAAGCACAAAGATATCTGGGAGGACCAAGATGCCTTACCCACCTTAGACCATTAAAATGTCTCCTGACTCTTCAACTAAAGGAAGCTGTTTTTCGTCCTTTAGCAACTGACTCACTCACTCTTGCAAACCATAATGGACTGTGTGAAGAGTCCCAGGACTTTTAAGACAAGACATGCACCTGACAACTTTTAAGGTAGGAAACAAGCTAGCAGCACAATAAATGAAGGTAAAATCAACAAATACAGAGTACAAAGTAAAAGTAGGCCAGAAAGAACCGTAAAATGTGAGGGTATCCAGGATGASTGCCAACAGGAGAATCAGAGGAGTTTCATGGGGTGGAACCACCAGAGCAAGGAATGTCTAGCCTGAGAATTTGGACATATGGGTAGAACAAACAGATTCGCTTTTATCTCTAACTTCAAATATACTTAAAAAATATTTTCAGCTCCCCAACCTGGTCACAATCTCAAGGAAAAAAGGCTTGATACTTCTCCTATCTCTGTGATTTTCAGTTTAGTATTTTGCAGAGATGGGCCATTCATTTGTTCATTCACTGCAAGAGATAAGTTATCAATTTCAGCCCTGAAGAAAGGCTAAATAACTTTTTGCTTCATAAAGAGCTTGTGGCCTTTGAAAGAAATGATTCCTGAATACCACTTACTACACCATTCATTTCATTTCAGAGGGACATTCCTAAGAGTTTTCCCAAAACTAAATCATATTACATATAAACAGGGATCTGCAATGTGCTTCTGAATATAATACACATATTTAAAAATTTCCACATGTACTTGTGCCTATATACATATGCCTTAAGTTCAGTATCTCAAAAATATTTTAAACTTGCACTGCTAAACTGAAGCTTTTTTTTTTTTTCCCACTCAACACACTTTATCATCCAGTCCTTCAAAATCCCTTCCCGTCCCAACAAAGCATCTTAAACCAGAGAAGAAAAACCAACAACATTTTCTTAGGCAGCATCTCAACACCTCCAAAAGGTATTCCATGGCCAAACTCACCATAAAGAGCTGTCCAAGTTTGATTAATTACATCTAGACACACAGTTCCTGACCTGAAACAGATGGAAAGAATGGTATTTTTTWAAAAAATTAGAAAGTTAGTTGCATGTATCTGGCAACTAATTTTATTTATCATGAAAACACTTTTAATAGATCCTTAAATTTAAAAAATGGGGAAAGTATAATGAGGAGCAAAATATTTACAAGGTCATAGGTGTCTCCTTACAGACTGAAAAGGAAAAATAATTATAAGAAGCCAATAAACACCTGAGCCAGGTGGTTGGAATTAACATTGGAAACAAGGGGCAGATAGAGCTGTGATACCCTGATAAACACAAATTTTCCCTGTGTTTGATTAAGCGTGTGCATACCCTGAAACTAATACAGAAACGGACAAATCCAAATTGAGGGAGAACTTGTAAAATAAATTATCTATAGTCTAAATGAAAGTAATTTTAAAGAAATATGAYAAATAAATGTAATATGTGGTTCTGGACTAAATCTTTTACTAAAAGGGGAAAAAATGCTAAAAAGTACATTACTACAATATAGCAATAAACTAGAGTATTACATTAAGTTCCTGAATCTGGAAACTACTTTGATTACTACATTTTGTTGTTAGGATGACTGATATGCTGAAATATTAAAGCACAAAGGGACACAATATATGTACCAAACCTACTCACACAAAGTTCAGAGAAATCTCACAGGTAAGCTTTATGAGGGCAAAATGGGATACTGTGAAAAGTAAAAACTGCAGTCCAAATGGTCATGCTTTCTAAATAGCACTGGAGAGGGACACAAAGGCTGCACTGGGACCACTTTAACATATCATTAACACCACAAGTAAAGAAAATGAAAATGAAGATTCAGAACTGAAACGAAACTAGTCATTCATGGTTGCTTTTCTCTCAAGAACTAAGAAATACATTCATGGGCTAAAAATGGCAAATCTGTATGCCAAAAACAGATCTCTGAGCTGTGTCTATATGATGAGAACTAAGATGTGAAATATTGCAAATGTTAGCTGGATATCAAGGGAAGTGAAGGATGCAGGCATGACAATGGAAAAAATTAACAATGTACAGCGAACCAGAACTCAGTGGTTTAGAAGAGCATATCCCTAGGACTGTACAGTTTAAATGACACTCATAGTCCACCTCCCCCATAAAATCCTAGATGATAAATACAGATTATTTCATGACCAGGAGAGAAAAAGGAACTCTAATCAAAAGCAGTTGCTACTAAAATGTAAACATTTTTAAATAGTTACTTACGCTTCATCAATGTTGGGATGGAAAATTTTATTCATGAATCCTGTAAAAAGAGATGTTAATTAGCAGCAAAAAGTATCCAGAGAACAATGAGTTTTAAAGTATGTCAGAAACAACTTCAATATGATAAGGAAAAAGGTGATAATACTCATAAACCAATACTTTCAACCTTAGATCATTGGCTATTGATAAGACTATATTCTGTTGGCTCCAATTAACTAAAATATATGAGAGTTCTAGTAACAAACAAACAACTTTCGGGAAGTAATGAAGCTTTATACAAAATAATTTTAAAAGCAAGTGCTTCCTAAGCTATGAAGGTACTTGCCCAAAGATTTTTTTTAATACTAAATGATTTACAACTAGTGTTATGATAAACATTAAGAAACTTCACTGACAACCCCCCACCACACACACACACAGTTTTATTGTTCAAGCTCTAAACTTTAGGTTCTGCACTTGAACTTCTCCTTCTGAGGCTCATTTACCATCATCATTAGGCTACACCTTGTACRGAACATGAATGAAGCTGTTGAAATGCTGTAGGAACACCACTTGCAAACCACAAAGGATTTCACAAGAAGTGACCAAAATATTTCCTTTAATTTTGTCTACTCATTTAAGGAAACCCATCTTGATTAAAATTGAGGCAACTAAGAAATTAGGCAAGGAGTTTTAAAAAATTCTTCAAGATGGCTGTATCTGTCAGGGATTTTTTTTCCCCTAAAAAACAAGTACAGATTTTAATGTACTGCTGTTTAAATTGCAAGGAGAAATTATTTTTTAACTTAGAATCAATGATTTAAGCAATATTTGTATATGCAAATGACAATACTCTAAAGCAGAGATCTACTGTCAAAGCTGTCATATTGTTATTTTTTCCACTTTATTTCCTTATTTAGGACTCTCTTATTCCATTCCAAACTTGCAGTAAATTCAAGTTCCTTAGTGCGGCAGTTTTTGCTATTGCTGTGCCCCAACCCCACCTTCCCTCACCTATCCCCACAGGTTCATTCCCTCATTAGAAACATAGCAGCAACACCTACATGACAGCAGTTGTGCTTTTTTTAGGGTACAAAAATGAAACAATACACCATTCTCCAAAAGGTCACTAAAGAAGGACAAGAGCCAGGAAGAAATAAATGCAATGTGTATAAGGTATGGACACAGGGGGCATGTGGAAAGGGGAAGAGTCTTAAAGATGCAGAGAGGCAGCACCGCAAGTGCTGCAAGTGAGCTGCCATGGATATTATCTCCAAAAATCTTAGAAACTTTATTCGAATTAGCAATTGTGGGAAAAGAATACAAAACCTCCAATATTCCAGTCTTTGATTGCTCTAGCTACTCCAAGTACTAATCCTGCTTCAATTTCTGTTTTTATATTCTTTTGTACTCTCTGTACTGAAACAGTTTTATCTACTATAATGAAGAGTGTTTAAATTCTTTAGATGCCCCCCACCGGCCCCAAAACAAAAGCCAGGTTCAATATTAATTTTTCATTAAGGAAAATGAAGATGTTTCAAAGTCTAGACTTAAGATGTATGTATTTTATGAAGAGATCATAATAAGCTGATAGAAATGGTCATGCCTAAATATTAAAAAGCAGGGGGAAAAGTTCCAGATGGCCATAGTTATTCATAGCAGCATTGTTATAAAAGCCTAGAACCAAATTCAACCTCATGAACACGAGATGAGCTATAGAGTACCCATATACTTGGGAGTCCTATACAGCCAAACATAATCAACTAGACCAATATGCACTAACTTGGATAGAGATGAAGCTCAGTTAAAAGAAAAAACACATAACAATTATATAGTTACAGCATACTAAAATAAAGCAATAATTCTTATCGCCATGCTTTAAGTATGGAAAAACATATCAAAGTTGTAAAAGTATTTCATGTAGGGTACAGGGCCATGGTCATGGTGGGAATAGGGAACAGAAGAGGAAATAGCAATTAAAAATKATTTTATCTGTCACTATATTCCTTTTAAAAAGGGACAAAGTGCTTGTATATTATTTACTATTTTTTTAAATTTTTAATACAAGCATGCACATAGACAAGAAACAGGAAGCAAATATGAACAAAGATTAGCAGTGTCCAGTTCTTGATGGTGCAGGCCTTTTCTCCCCTGCATTTTCCATATCCTATCACTCCCTCTGTCACCCCTGTACCAGAAGTGGGATTGAGGAGATGTGAAAGGCCAGTGTCAACAGTAGTCATTTTTGAGAGACTCCCCCATGATTTCTCTCTTCTTTTGACTCTCCTAAATTTCTACAATGTGTAATGTCAATAGTTAAACAAAAATCACTTTCAGTCTGGGTGCAGCAGTCCAGGCCTGTAATGCCAGTGACTTGGGAGACTGAGGTGGGTACATCTCAAGTTCAAGGCCAGCAAGGGCAACTTAGTGTAACTATCTCAAAATAAAAAAGCCTGGGGATGTAGCTCAGTGGTAGAGTGCTTGCCTAGCATGAGTGCAGCCTTGGGGTTAATCTCTAGTACAAAAACAAACAAAAAACTCTTTAAACAACATCAAGTCTTCTAAAGTAATCTAATTATACATGAGTTAACCAGTGCTGAACCCTTTTAAGAGAAAGTTATCATGTTCACATCTTAATTTCTCTTGCTTAAAACAATTTTGGGGGAGGGGAATGGTACTGGGGATAAACCCAGGGGCCTTCTACTACTGAGTTACGGCTCTAGCCCTTTTCATTTTGAGACAAGGTTTTGCTAAATTGCCAAGGGCAGCCTCAAATTTTTGATCTTCCTGCTCAGTCTCTGGGATTACAAGTATATACCACAGCATTAATCAAAAAACCCTTGGGTTCTAAGGCATGTCATCTTCAAGATCAGTTACATAGGAATATGCTGTTATCCCTAATGCAAGGAAACTTTTTTTTTKKKKGGGGGGGGRGATGGGCACGGTGAGGCCAGGGATGAAACCCAAGACCTCACTTGTACTAGGCACTACCACTGTTACTCCCCGAGCCCAAGAAACTTTCTGAGGATTGGGAAACAATGTTGGCCCACCATGTAGTCTAACTAAAGAGAATGGTTCTACTATGGGAAAAATATGTTCTTTTTTTTTTTTTTTTGGTGGTGCTGGGGATTGAACCCAGGGCCTTGTGCATGTGAGGTAAGCACTCTACCAACTGAGCCATACCCTCAGCACCAAGTAATATATTCTTGGTACTTACTTAAAATCCTGCCTCTGTTAGAACCCTTAAAACTAATACCTAGTGGAGAGTATCTATGGCAAAAGTTCCTGATGCTGGCTATAGATGAGAATCACCTGCAGAAACAAAATAAGTGCTAGGTTATAAAGTGGCTAGTGTTGGGGCTRGGGTTGTGGCTCAGTGGTAGCGTGCTCACCTAGCATGCATGAGGCACTGGGTTCGATCCTCATCAGCACATATAAATAAAGACAATAAAGTCCATCAACAACTAAAAAAAAAAATTAAAGTGGCTAGTGTTATAGGAAGGCTGGGATAGGAGTTGCAATTTTAAAAATGATGGTGAGGAAAGGCCTTCCCGAGAAGATGCCTTATTCTGAAGGAGGAGCAAGAGCACCAAGGGGAAGAACATTTACTCAGCCCAAATGCTCAAGTGCAAAGCATATCAGGAGTTTGCTTAATGCATTTGAAGGTCAGCAAAGGCATTAGTGACACTGAAACGGAATAAGGGATATAAGACCAGAAGTGGGTCACAGAGGTGATCAGCACACTGAGGGCTCTTTTACATTCTGAGGGAGACAAAGCCACTGAAGCTAGTGTCTGACATACTAATATAGTATCCATATCATTGAATTAAAAAAGAAAGGCTAGTTGGAGAACAGCTCAATCAACTCATAGCAGTTCAGTGTTGGGGAAAGAAGATGAGGAATGGCTGGTCTCACATAAAATGGAAAGGGAATCCTAGAAATGAATTAAGCTTCAACAGTTTGMTGCCACAGGGCACCTTAAAGGTGTAAGTCAAGAAAACAGCTGTGGTAAAGAACTTTAAATGTTTATCAAAACTGTCTCTAAAAGATTAAAGTGCTTCCCTCATTGACCATGGCCTGGAGAATACATTTGGAATCAATATAGGTTCTACACTGTTTTCAATTAAATCTAGATTTGGCCTGGTTGAGTCTAGAAGTACATAGTAGACAGGCCCAAAAAGGACTTAGTAAACATGCTTTAGTAATAAGTGAATTGGGCCCTGTCCCTAGTGCCCTGCAAGACTAAAATACCATATGAGCTCTGGAACAGGGCAGAAGCAGACAGCAAAGAGCAAAGTACTACACAACAGTTCTAATCCCAGTTCTGCTCTCAACCATAGGCCCTGGGTCAGTCACTTTACTTCTGGGGTATGTTTCTTTATCTATAAAGAAAAATAGCTAGATTTCCAAAATTCCTACTCTTATTCTATTTCAAAAGGTCCTATCAGCACCAAAAATCTAGGAGTTAACTATAACTATAATGAACAGAGTTCTGAGACGAGAGGACTTAGGGAAATGTCCAATGCTAAAGACCTTAAAGAAAACTGATCTRTAAGGCAGCATTTTTTAGTTATGAAAGTATTGTGGAGAATACAAAACAAAACTACCACAAAGAGCTCTAAAACCTACTGACAATTTCAAAGTAGGTGAAATCAGAGTTTGTAACCTTGCCTTTGAGAAGACACTGCTAGACCAATGCTATCAAAACACATTTTCTAAATTAAAATGACCTCTCCTTATTCCAAGCTTTTTTAATTGTTTAAAAGAATGTATCCAAAGTAAGTCCACGAAAAGGGACATGTCTCCTTTGCATTTGTTCTTGGACAAGCTGTGAGCAGTATTTCTGGCATTCATTTACATTCTGGACAACGATGCCAACAATGGAACTTCTGGACCAGGATGGGAGACTGGGAAAGAACAGGCTAGGAATTCAGAGAAGGAACATTCTCAGGACCCAGTGTTTGCCCTGGCATGTTCTCCTTCCTTTTGGCAAGGGTATCACCCCACTAATGAATATGTCTGCAAGAAGAAAATTTTCCCAACACTTGTTTCCATTCAACC